TGGGATGTGTATACAATGTGTAAGGATCAAATCAGAATTATTAGCATATCTGTCACCTCAAATGTGTATTATTTGTGTTGAGAGTGTTCAAAATCTTCTTTTCTTTCTTTTTTTTTTTTTTATCTTTTTGAAAATAAAGGGTGGACATAAAGTTCATGTGCAATTTAAAATAGGTTAACATAGTAAATGGCACATGAATTTTATGTCCACCCTGTATACACTAAAATATAGTTAACCTTATTCACTCTACAGTGCTACAGAACACCGGCACTTATTCCTTCTATCTACCTGTAATTTTGTATCCAATAACCAACCTCTGCCCATCCTCCCTTCCCCCATACCTCCCTGCCTCTAGTACCCACAATTCCTCTCTTTTTCCATGAGCTCCATTTTTCTTTTTTAGCTTTCACACATCAGTGAGAACATGTAGTACTTATCTTTCTGTGCCTGGCATATTTTATTTAACATAATGCCCTCCAGGCTTGTCCACCCTGCTGTGAACAATGGTAGGATTTCATTCTTTTTTTAGGGGCTATTCCATTGTATATGTATTCTGCATTTTCTTTATTCATTCATCTCTTGGTGGACATTTAGGTTGATTCCTCAACAGCAAACAAACAAACAAAAAAACCAACCAACCAACCAAACAACCCCCCCCCCCCATAACTCAAGTGGGCAAAGGATCCGAATAGATATTTCTCAAAAGAAGACATACAAATAAATGGCCAATGGGTAGATGAAAAAATACTGAAATTGCTAATCATCAGAGACATGCAAATCAAAACCACAATGAGATGACATTTTATCCTGGTTAGAAAGACTAATATCAAAAAGACAAAAAGTATCCTGCTGTTGAGGATGCAGGGAAGGGGGACCTCTTAGACACAGTTGGTGGGAATGTAAATTAGTGCAGCCATTTTGCAAAACAGTATGGAGTTTCTTAAAAAACTAAAAGTAGATTCACTTTTAGTGATACCACTATTGGGTACTTATTCAAAGGAAAGGAAATCATTCTATCAAAGGTGTATTATTCCGTTTGTCATTGCTATAAAGGAAATACCTGAGGTTGGGTAATTAATAAAGAAGATTGGTTTATTTGGCTCATGGTTCTTTGTTGTGTATTTCACATTTCATATTTCACAGTCTTGTTGACTGTACAAGAAACATGGCATCAGCATCTGCTTTTTGGGGAGGGTTTCAGGGAGCTTCCAGTCGCAGTAGAGGGTGAAGGAGGAGCAGACATGTGAATGGTGAGAGAAGGAACAAGAGAGAGGAGGTGGTACCCAGCTTCTTTAAATAACCAGCTCTCAGATGAACTGGAAAAGGGAGAATCCACTCTCTGTGGCAGGGAGGACACCAAGCCATTCATGAGGGATCCACTGCCATGACCCAGACACTTGCTGCCAGCTACACCCCCAACACTGAGGATCAAATTTCAACACGGGATTTGGAGGGATCAAATGTTCAAATCATATCAAAAGTGTTACCTACAACCCTGTTTTTTATTGCAACACTGTTCACAGTAACTCACAGAGGATTCAAATCTTCATCTGACTTAGAAGCTCCAAGCTGCTCTTTTCTATTCTGTTACTATGCTTGGAATAATCCAAATCCAAAGGCAGGGCAGAATGGATGTTGAATGTGTCTAGAGGACAAGGAAATTTTTTCTTTTCTTTTCATTCATTCATTCTTTTCTTTTTTTTTTTTGAGACAAAAGCTTGCTCTCTTGCCTGGGCTGGAGTGCAGTGGGGTCATCACAAGTCACTGTAACCTTAAACTCCTGACTTAGCCTCTTGAGAAACTAAGGCTATAGGCATATGCCATCCTTCCTGGCTAAGTTTTCTATTTTTTTGCAGAAATGGGATCTTGCTATTTTGCTCAGGCTGGTTTCAAAGTCTTGGCTGGTCTCAAGGAATCCGCCCACCTCCGCCTCCCAAAGTGAACCACAGCACCTGCCTTTAATCTTAGCATTCAATACATGTTAAACTCAATACATATTAACCTGCAATTTTAAATTCCTAGGTTAGTAAAAAGAGCTTCTGCATTTGGTCATGGTTCTGATCAGGGGTTTTCAAAGATTTTTTTTTTTCCTTTGACAGACATAACTAGTCACACCAGCTAATATTTCACATAAGCTGGTATGTTTTTCCTTTTATGAGAAGATAACAACATTGCATGGGATGAAAGGAACATGATGACTAGATGTCACCACCACAAAACTGCATTCTTGCTTTTATTTTCATTTAAAACAAGCTCCATTAGAGGAGAAAATGGAGAAGCACCATGCTCTGCTGGAGAAAATTAATGCCCCCATATTGGGAAATAATTTTGCATGATTGATAGAGGCGCTAAAATCACAAAAGTTAAACAAGGTAGAATTTTACCTTTTACGTAAAAATCCAAGAGGCAGTCCAGGGCTGCTATGACCGTAGACTCGGACCCAGCTTCTGTCTTGACTCATGGCTGCTTTTGGCCTTGACTTTGACCTCAAGGTCTAAAATGCTTGTAGCCATGCTCCAGGCAGCAAATTGGGGGAGGGAAGAAAATGAAGGGCAAAAGACACCTTTTTGAAGAATGTTACTAGACACTTCCTCCTACTCAACATTGGCCAGAAATTACTGTTATGGAAACATCTCACTGCAAAGAAGGTCTAGTAGCCTTGATTCTAGATATCCATGTGTTTAATTAAAAATGAAGAACATGAGAATGGGTATCAGGGGACAGCTAGCAGTCTGCCACCAAGTCTTTGGAATTTGACCTTTGCCCTTCCAACTCTTCCTCAAGCTTAGAACATCTGTACCCACTTAACTGACATTTGGTACATACTTAAACCACCAACTCTAGAGAAAGTTAAAAAGGCATTCATCATAATTTAAGGATATGCACATAGATAATATATTAACATTCACAATAGTCATGAGATCATCTTAGTAAGAGGGATGATACTCTGCCATCTTTCACCAGAAGCATCATTTCTGGGACCGTGATGGAGAAGAGGGGCTTGCAGGTCAGCTTCCACAGATGGTTTCTTTTCTTACCCTTTATATTCACTAAATGAGAAAAGCTGAGATTACAGTTAGAGGTAGCAGCAAGTGATCGATGACTATCTTGTAGTCCTGGATATTCTACCTAGAGATAGATGTGGAAATTGACTCTCCTTCTCAACTGAAGGCCCCTTTCAGCATTTTGTCAGAATTCTGTCTCACTTGGGAACTGGAAGGTTGAGGGTTTCATCTTAGGGATGCCACATGGGTTCCTTAGTAACCCTTTGACTTGATTTTAGTCTAAAAAAACACATCTTCATGTTCTTTTGTTGTCCTTGGGTGTGGTTTTTAACTATGTCCAGTGGCAGGTCATGTCTGCCTCCATCAGGTAGAGCCCAAACTGTCTGGATTGGAGAACAATTTTTATCACACCATCTGTGTAACTTTGAGAAGATCATTTAAATTTTCCATGCCTCGGTTTCCTCAATTGTAGAATAGAGAGAAAGAGAGAGACTGACTCACAGCATAGTTGTGAATGTCAGACGAACTAAATAAAGCATGTGACTACCTAGTTCAGTTCTAGCACATGATATACACTAAATAAACATGCATTGTGGTCATCGTTATTATTTTGAAGCATTTGCAAACTCTAGACTATCCAGGCCTTTCACACCACAGTTCAATCTTCTTAGGAAATCCTGGCTTATTCTTCATTCTTCTACCTTAAAAATCATAAACTTTCATCCCCAAAGTAGGGTTAAGTTTCTGAATGTTTGAATTACAGAATATATTGTGAGACTGTCATTGAAAAAAATCACAGAAAGAGTCTTCATTTGCATTAAGGGAGTGGCATAAAATATCTTTTTTATTCATCTTTTCAAAAATGTATATGAGCCTCTTCATGGATGGTGTCCTTCCCTGGGGTAAAGTGGTCTTCTATTTGCCATCTATTTCTCTGCCCCAGCACCTTGAAAACTCTGCAAATGGATGGGGTCCACTATTCTCTTCAACACTAAACCAAGATCAGAGGGAATATATGATGAAGGGTTGTAAGAGCACAATGAGTGGGTTTAAACACAATGTTTGTGGTTAATTTTTCAGGTAGCTTTAGAAGCTTCTTGGCAATAATGGGAATTCTGACAGTTTTTCCTACTTGGTTTTGATCTTCTTTGATTCTTTAATGACAAAATTAAATTAACATGAGAAAATATTTTTCTTCCTTTTACATGTTTGTTCTGGAAAAAAGAAAAATGGAGCTTATACTTAGAGATGAGGCTGGTTCCCTCTCTTAATCTGACAAATATGTATAATGGTCACCAGGGCCAAATGAGTTGCTGAGTTGGTAAAACCCAATTTTTCACATACTCAAAACGGCTTTTCATTTTTGGGTGAAATCAACATGCAACACAATCGCTTGTCCTGGGATGTAGATTCATGCTCTGTGTTCACACTGGAGCCCTGTTCTTGATTTATGTTTAGGATATTCTTTTTTGTTGTACTATTTGCATTATTATTTATATCATTGCTTTTAGGCTTCGGTGGGCTACTTTTGTGGTGTGGGGCTAAAAAACACAGCATGATCGTAGAACCAAATGCAGCCTTGAGCAATGAATGATGAAAACATGTGAATGGAGGCAAACTGCAGGTTGCTCACTGCATGCTTGCAGAGGATCAGCCACCGATTGTTATTAAGTACAATGGGATTTCCATGACCATCATAACTGCTTACATTTCAAATCTGTGAACAAAACTGTTTTAACTTTTTTTCCCTCTGAAGCCACACTAAACGTCTAGGGACCACACTTTGAGAACAACTACCTTATGGTTTTTGATGAGGGCATTTCTGGAAAAGAACTGATGAATTGGTTAGGAGTGGGGGGACCTGGTCCCTAGGGAAGTTAAAAGAGAACAAAACCCAGAATCTGAAGGTCTGGGCTTCTAGTCTGGTTGGGGAGCTAGGAATGTAAACTATGTCCTTACAAGTGTTTTCATTTCTTTTTTCTTTGTACCTTGCAGAATAAAAGCCAGGGATCCATCTTTGTGCGGATACACGCCCCGTGGCAGGTGCTGGCCAGAGAGGCAGAATTCTTGAAGATCAAAGTTCCCACCAAGAAAGTATGAACATGTTTCTCTTGGGTCCTGGGCTTTCTGAAGGCTGAATGGATGCAGATAGTTTGGGAATAGGGCCAGGTGGGATGTAGGTTCTGTGAAATTGAAATCACACTGGTCTCCCCAGGGATCCATGGTGTGGGTGGGACAGGGAAGAGTTGGGGTGGGAAGGAAATCCTTCTACAGCATGGGTTGTGTTTCTTGAGAAGCCAGTCATTGTCCTGGTCCAGTTTCCATTTTTCTTTTATGCCTCTTTTCTCCCTCTTCTTAGAGGTCCTAATATTACCAAGCTTTTCTTTAGAGTGAATATAGCAATGAGAGCTGGCATATGCCATGCTGATTGCATCAGAAGCTCACAGGAGAAATAGCCTCAAACTTCCTATGAAGATACCTATTCTGGTTATGATTCCACCACTAAATATTGTGTCATGGTGGGTTTCACTTATCTCTTCTATAAAACAAGGGTCTTAATCATGTGAGTTGATTAAAATCATCTGGGAAGTATTTTCAACGTGCTCATGCCAATTTCTCAACTCTGGGACTTTGATTCTATTGGTTGGTATAAAATGAGATTCTGCATCATTGTTGTTAAAATAAATCCCTGGGAAGTTCTGATGCACATCTGGGTTGACAACTATATAGTTTAGATGCTGTTTGAGGGAGTTTTCATTCGGATAGGCTCTATATGCTATAATTTAAAAACCTACCTAGGGAATTCCTATGTGACATGTCTCTTTGTATGATATAATAAAATCTAGCAAATAGCTCCAAATAAAAAAAGAGGCATGTGTTCATAAATTTCCCCATTCTTTTTTTATTAGGGATTTTAGGGGAAAGGAGTGGCTATTGACTTTGACAGTTTGAGATGTCTCTTAGGGAGTGTCCTGGGCAGACAGTACCCTAGTTTAAACATGGGTGGTCTGTGGGTGGTCTCTCTGTCTCTCTTGGTCTGTCTCTGCCTCTCTCCCCCACCACAAGCACCCACATCCCTGATGTAGTCGCATAAGCAGTGACCTACCTTTTCAGAGTTCACTCTTCTTTAAAAAAAATTTTTTTTTTATTATTGGGGATTCATTGAGGATACAAGAAACCAGGTTACACTGATCGCATTTGTTAGGTAAAGTCCCTCTTATAATTGTGTCTTGCTCTCAAAAGGTGTGTCACACACTGAGACTCCCAGCCCCCTCCCTCCTTCTGTCTCTCTGCTCTTCATTTCCAGACCCCCTCCCTCCTTCTCTCAGAGATCAGTCTTGATCATTGCAACTGACTGTTATCATTTCCACCCTCCCCACCATTAGCCAAATCCCGTATATGTTGCCCTCTGTGCTACAACTATTATCACTTGTCTTCTCATCACCATACCCACTGTCAGTAGCATCGTTATAGTCAACAAGTCCAAAAGGTTTATGCTGTTGGCTATGCTAATATCAACTTCACTGCCAACCCGTCTACTGTCTCCATCAAAAATCACTCACCAAATACTAACATGTGACTAATGCCATCATGAATCCCTCGCTCAAGAAGAATACATTCTTTGGGCTCGGTTCCTGCAGATCTATTAAGATGAACAATAACTCCATGACAGGTAGACAAAGTCTCACTAAACAACGCACAAACCCAGGCATGGATATTAGCTGTAAACATTCTGCCAGTAAAAGGTGCACTTGAGGGAGACACACACCCTGTGTCCTGGTTTCCCAGGGGCTGCACCATGGTCTTTTCCCCTTGGTTGCACTGCTGTCTCTTGTCTCTTAGCTTTAGTTCTCTCACACTTCATGTCATCACCCTCAAGCACAGGCATCACCTCTGCCATTCCTCACCTGATGTTCTCCAGATCTCCCAGCAACTTGGTTTAAGTCTCAGTTTGCAGTTGAGGTTTCTACTTCACGGGTGGGGTCCTTGGCCAACCCTTTCCCTACTCTTTCCTCGATGTTCCTCCTCACTACCATATATTCTTCTCCTTTCTCTTTGAGGTATCTGAAAATCTAACGTTCTCTTAACCTCATTGTATTTGTATCTTGTTTACTATGTTTTAATCTTTGCTGCTGTTCCTTGGAAAGAAGGTGAGCAAAACTCTAACCCTGATGCTGGTGTTTCAGACCCCTGGAATGATCCTGTAGTGGGAACGTAGAAGCCGAGAAGTTGTACGTCTCCTTCTGCCCTCCCTCACCCGTTTGTCTTCTGTGCTCTCCTTTCCATCCTTCTTTCTCTCCTAGGCTTTTTCATCTCTCTTCTCCCTTCCACCACCCTCTCCCAGTGCCCTGTGCTAGCCTCCCCTCTGTTCTCGGCACACCCTGCCACACCCCCACACCTCTTGTTTCTCTGCCTCCTTTTCCTTCTCATTCCCAGACTCATCCTCTGTCTTTGGCCCCTCTGGGCCCTGGTTTGTCCTTTCACAGGCTTATACCTGTAGAACCTGATTTTGCATAAATGACATTTCTGCCTCAGAGTTTCAATGTCCCTAGACATTAGCTCTTTGGAACTTGCCATGTGTAGTTTAGGTAGTACCTGTACTTGTGTTTGTAGGCAATTGATCAGGGTGAGGATGGCCTCTAAATTGGCCATCTCTGGGTTTCCCTCTCCCTTGTCATTTTGGCAGCATCAGGTGGTAGAGACTCTACTAGATGAGGCCTCAGAAGAGCAGACTTTTGTAGCCTTGGTTCTGTACTTATTTGCTGTATGGTTTAAGATGCCCCGGTCTCCTAATTATGCTATGGGCATAATAATACCTGCCTCATTTTTCTTAAAAGCCTATTGTACAACTCCAATTCTTAACCAGTCTATGGATAGGCAGGAGCTTGCTATTGTGTTTGCTTTCTGAAATATTTTTATGTGTGTTCTCAATTCTTGGTCCCCCCATCAACTTCCTTCCTGACCACGTAGACAGCCCACATTAATGAAGCCCCACTGTGAGAGGGACTCTGGGGAGGCATTGAGGGTGCAGAAACAGCTCAGGCCCTCACCGAGCTGATGGGTGCAGGGCAGAACTAGAGGGGTGCATGTGCCCAGACATCAGAGCAGTGGTTGGATACCGTGTCAAAGAGCAACTCACGAGCACAGCATAGATTCTGTGTGTCAATATGGTGGGTTGGAAGTTGGGTGAGGCAAAGCCACATGGTTGATCCCATAAGTCTGCAGATATCACAGGAAGATGTTTTTTCCCCAAAGTTTCTGAGTCCCAGACTCTACTCAGGCAGACTGTTCTGACACGCCCTGTGTCCCTGTGTCCCTTTGTCCTCCCTGTATCCAGAGCATACAGGTGTGGCTTGTGGTTGACTTCACAGGTGTTACACACAGGAAGGAAGTAACTTGGCATGCTATGTAGGATGCCTATGTTTATAAAAATTAACCTGCGACTCTGATCCCGGGGATGGGGTTGTGGGTCAAAGAGTAGTAGGGAGGGTGGAAGATAATACAGAAAGTCTGCAGAGGGCCTGCGTCAAGCCTTGTGACATTTCTCTCCTTTTAAAAATGAATTTGGGGGGTAGAGCCTGTGGCTCAAGGGAGTAGGGCGCCGGACCCATATGCCGAAGGTGGCAGGTTCAAACTCAGCCCTGGCCAAAAACTGCAAAACAACAACAACAACAAAATGAATTTGGGAAGTGACTAAAATAAGGTAAAAACCCACATTTGCAGAGAAACGCATCCTGTAGCTGGCGGAACATGGAAGAAGGACGAGGGATGGCGTGGGATCAGTTAAGTATCCTCCGGCCGGTGGAGGCTTGGATCATAACTCAACAGGGTCCGGAGAGACCAGGAAGATGGGGAGGAAATCATGAAATCAAGATCTCAAACCTGGACAAATCCATCGTAATGTGTCCAGGGACTCGGAGTCCTGAGCACAGATATTAACTGGGAGGGAGAATCTTGGAAGGAAGCATTTGTTTTCCAGAAACAACAATAGAAGAGCCAGCATTTTGTGAGGGACACTCAGCATCCATGCACAAGAGAGAGTGGGAAGGCCTGGCCAGTGGCCCGAGCAGCCTGAGGAGGTCTGGGAAGGGTGTCTGGGAGCAGGTGCTCTCTCACACGGGTTCATGACCAAGGTGGTGCTTCTAGATTGTGCTTGCCATCAATGCTTATTTCTCATTCATTTTTTGAAATATATACATGAATCAACAGCTTTTTCTCACCTCTTCCATTTACTTATTTCACATGACAAAGCTGGGAATGGTTGAGGAGTTGCTATCTGACCTGTTAAGGAAGAATTTATTGCCAACAAAATCATTTGCCCATGAAATTTGCAAGAAGTGACATGCCTAGGATGGGTAAAAATTACTTTTGTCCAAATTTTCAGAGCTTTTGTTGCTTTTATTAGTAGAATGATACCACAGAGGTCTTCTTTACTGTCCCTAGGGTCTGTAAGGACTTTAGCTTATGAGTCCTTTGCATGCAAGTAACATCGTTTTTTTGGCCTGGGGCTGGATTTGAACCTGCCACCCCTGTTATATGGGGCTGGCACCCTACTCCTTGAGCCATAGGTGCCACCCCCAAGTCACATCTTTTTTTAGGAAAGCAGGTTCAGAGCTCCACACGTATCCTCCCAAACGGGAGTGATCAGTGTTGTGGAGGGCTCTTGTGAGCAGTGGTGTGATGTATGAGAGTGCCTTGCACAGAGGCTCATGTGGTCTGTGATGACCGCTGCTGTTACTGCTGTTCACAGTGCTATGTGGAGGGAGGGCAGCACAGCTTGTGCCAGATTGGGATTGTTGCTTCCTGCTCTTTCCCCTTCCTCTCTCTTCACAGCCAGTGTCTGCAGCGCTGGGGGAAAAACGGGCCCTGTCCCTTAATTCTACTAAGAAGTCCAGACATGAAATCTGTGGAGAGGAAGGAACAGATGGCCTTTGGACTATGTGCTAGGGGATTTCTGTTTCCTTGAGCACAGGTCCATGGGGGGTCCTTTAATATGATGTCTCCATGTGCGACGTCTGCAGTGCAGTCACTGGGAAAGCCAGAGGAAGACTGTTTGGGCCCCTCCATGCAGAAGGGACAGCTTGAAGACACCT